GGAATCAATAGAACCTTCAAAAATCCAATTGTCTTGCCAAAAAAAACAATTACCAGAATTTAAACCCCAAGCAATAAGAGGTTCCATTATATTCATGGTTTGACAAAGCCTTTTCCAAATTAAAGAGTCACCATGCTTATAAAAAGAGCATAAGGGATGTTTACCTTTACAATATTTGAAATTCATAAACAAAGCCCAAAGACTTTCATTTTTCCTAAAATTCCACCACATTTTCAGAGAAGAAACAATTATAGAATCAGAAATAGATTTGCAACCAAGCCCTCCCTCATTAAGAGGACCACATAAGTTACTCCAAGAGGTCCAATGCATTCTAGTAGCATTATTTCTAGAACCCCAAAAAAATTTATTCAGAATTATCTCTAATCTTAAAACAGTGGCAATATTAGGTTGAATAACTTGGAATAAATGAAAAGCCATAGAATTAAGAACACTTTTTAGAATAGTTAATCTACCACCATAAGATAAAAAATGAAATTCCCAAGAAGAAATTCTATCAATCATCTTTTGAATAATTTCATCAAAGAGATGAGATTTCTTTAAGCCTCTAAAAATCGGAGCACCTAAATATTTAAAAGGCAAACTTTGATGAACAAAATGAGTAATGGAAGAAATTCTATTTATCTTAGCTAACATGAAATGTTTAGAAGTAAAGAAAGAACTTTTCAAGTTATTAATAGATAAACCACTCTCTAAAAAGAAATTATTAAGAAAACTTTTGATTTTCTTAATATGGTTTAGGCCTCCATTACAAAATATCATGAAATCATCTGCAAAACAAAGATGGGATATAGAAAAACCATCTTTAGTTAAATAATGCATGGACGGATACTTCTCAAAAATAAAATTAATGCATCTAGAAAAGTATTCCATAGTTATAATAAAAAGAGAAGGAGACAATGGGTCCCCTTGTCTAAGACCATGTTTAGAATGAAAGAAGCCATTGGAAACACCATTAAGCAATATAGAAAACCAAACATTGTCCACAGAATTTTTAATCAATCTTATAAATTGATCAGAAAACCTAAAAATACCTAAAACTTTATAAATAAACTCCCAAGATATGTTATCATAAGCTTTAGAAATATCAAGCTTAAAAAACATGTTGCCACCTCTAACTTTCAAATTGAGATCATTCACCATTTCTTGTGCCAAAAGAATATTATCTGAAATCAATCTCCCTTTAACAAAAGCAGTTTGATTTAAAGAAATCATACTAGGTAATAAAGAACCCAATCTTAAAGTAATGATTTTGGAAGTTAATTTGTTGAAAAAAGTACATAAGCTTATAGGTCTAAATTCATTCCAACTAACAGGATTTTCTTTTTTTGGGATAAGAACAATAGCAGAAGAAGTAAAGTATTTAGGCATAGCATTACCATTGAAAAAATCAATAACAGCCTCAATTAAATCATTTTTAATAGTGTGCCAACAACTTTGAAAGAATTGAGAAGTATAACCATCCATACCAGCGGTAGAATCAGGATTCATAGAATTAACTGCTGTAAATATTTCTTTTTCCGTAGGAATAGCAGTTAAAGCAATATTTTCTTCCACAGATATGATTTTATCAATAAGAAAAGAATAATCTAAATTCTTAACATGAACCTCATTGCAAAAAATATTAGAAAAATAATCAATAACAGATTCATGAAGTAAAGTGTCAGAAATCCAATTTCCATTCTCATCTCTAATCTTATCAATAAAATTGATAGATTTCTTTTTGTTAACCAAAGCATGAAAATATTTCGTGTTTCTATCCCCATCAGAAATATGTTTGGAAGCAGATTTTTGCTTCCAATAGGTTTCCTCCATATCTTGAAATTTAACCAAATTATCTTTGGCTATGTTCAAATCATTAAGAAAAGAAGAATCAAAAACAGTAAGAACTTCAAGCCTACAAACATCTTTTTCCATTTCTTTTATGTTGGAAAAAATATTTTTAAAATGATTTTTATTCCACCTATTAAGGTAATGCTTTAACCTTTTTAATTTCATTTGGAGGGGGTTTCAAGTGAGTGTGAAGGAGATCACACGGTTGCTCCGGCGAGCTTGCACCTCAGTACCATCGGATTCAAGGTTCGTCTTGAAGGAAGTTTTGGGAAGAAGAATATCTCATTGGTGTCAAAGGACCCGGCTCCTCCGCCGCACCGGGGAAGGTGGAAGTGATTGTGTAAGGGCTTCTCCGCCTAGCTGTGGGAGCTAAAGGAGAATCACTAAAGGTTTAGTGTAATACTCGGAGGGTGCCTCCGGGGAGTGAACGTAGGTCATGGTTTGTCCGAACCACTATAAATTGGTGTATTCTTTCCTTATCGTCATTTTCTTTTACTTGCATTTAATTTTCATAATTATTGCGTGGTGAAATTTGAGGAAGAAAATTTGTTTAAGTTTTTGTTGTAAAATTTTAAAAATAACAAAAAAGATTAGAACTCATGTTTAGGATTACTTTTTATTGAGAAAAAGTTTTTCACAATTCACCCCCCTCTTGTCATTTAGTAATTTCAAGGAGAACCAGCAGAAGTAATAATTTCCAAGTTTCTATTAGGATATAAAGAAAAATCCGAACACATTCCATTGTTTAAAGCAACATTTTCATCATAAATGACAATTTTCAAATTATTCTCCCTTAAAGAAATATTTTCCACATCCAGATTTTTGTTAGAAGAACTAACAATCTTAGGAGTTTTTAGTTCTATTAATTCTTCTTCAACATTCTTTAAATAATCATTTAAAGAATCATTTTGTATCTGTTCTTTATTAGAAGAATTAATAGGATTTGATTTAGGAGAATAATTTTTAGAATTTCCTTTCAGTTCAGGATTCAACACAAAGCAAGAATTAATGTCATGACCATGTAATTTGCAATGAGAGCAAAATATAGGAAATTTATCAAATTCTACCTTTTGAGAATAGCCACAAGAATCAGTCCTAGCCAAATTTCTTTAGGATACTCCTTTGTAATATCGATTTCAACTAATATTCTAGCAACCGAGGGCCTAGTCTTGTTTGTCGTGGCCTGATCAACTTGTAATGGCCTTCCAAATAAAGAACCGATAGCTTGCAGAATTTTTATATCAAAGAAATGCATTCTCAAATTAGGTAAAGATAACCAAACCGGACAAATATGCGATTTAACATGAATATCAAAATCCATAGACCATTTGAGAAGCAGCATTTGACAATTTCTAACGAAATAAGATCTTCTCAAGAAAACTCTACTATAATCTAATTTATTTGAAAGATTAATAAAAACATGCCTCGCATCAAGAAGAGTAACTGAAAACATGCCTGTTAGATGCAAATCATGGAAGAATTTCATTTTTTCTTCCATTAAAGGTCTACGAAAAGAAAATTTACCAACTAAAGCAAATTTATAAGGCTCAACAAGTTTTTTTAAGTCATTCTCCGAAATTAAAATAGCAGGAATGCCATTAACAGAGGAAGAAGAAATAGAGACACCAGATTTTTCATTAGAACAAGAGCCAGATAAAGCTTCTTTAAAAGATTTAGGCATCACTTTCTTAGGTATAATCGGATCCACCTCTTTCTTTCCAGAAATTTTCAAATCATCAAGAGAAGATGATTTAATCTCATGCATGAGTTCAATCAAGTGATTGAAACAAGAAAAATACTCATTAGCCATCAATTTTTCTCTGTTTACAAAGATCCGAGAAGGATCTTCATAATCGAAAGGATCCGTCAAAACCCTAGATGGGTTCGACGGCATACCCGAGTAGAATCCAAAATAAATCAAAGAAGATTAAGAAGGATGAAGGAATGATGTAAAATAAAGCAAACCAAATCAGATTAACACCAAAAAAACTGCTCGATCTCACCCAGGAACGCGAATCGCCCTCTCGTCGCCCGGTCGTCGCTCCAAGAATCGCAAGCCTTCGGGTTTTTTCCGGGTTTTTAAATCTCCTCTCCTCTCTCTCTCTCCCCTTCAGAAGATACCATATCATCATCTCTCTTTCTAGGGTTTGCAAATGGTCGATAAGATATCCGATTGTGTCACCAACGACGCCATCAGTCTTTTTGCGGCTGACCAGGCACCTCAATCGCAAAGTTTTAAAATGGTCGTAGATGAAAATACTCAATTTCAAGAATTTATTGCTCACCCTAAACAAATCAGGAATAAAGATACCCACATTGCACTGCGAAATGCATTGATTGATCATTTGTGGGATCAATATATTAATTCTAATGTGTTAGTTCCCTGTGTTTTTTTTCATTTTTATTTATTTGTTCTAATGTAATTTTCATTTAATAAATGTTTGTTTATTTAGGACATATTTATATTTCAAATTAATATTCCTTTTTTGATATTACAAAATGGATTCCATTGGAGATGTGCATTTTTTAAGTATATGACATCTTAGAGTGCGAGTTTTTCTAGTGGAGATGGCCTAAGAAAATAGCCCCTAAAACCCTCTTGACACGTGACTGTTATTTTCTCAACTGGGTTGAGAACGACGAATCTCCATTAGTGGATACCCTATCACCATCTCTCTTTCTAGGGTTTATAGATGGCCAGCAATATGTCTGATCGTGTTGCCAATGACGCCATCATCCTCGTTCGATGGCTCACTAGGCACCTCAATCATAAAGTTTCGAAATGGTCATGGATGAAATTACTCGATTTCAATAATTTATCATTCACCATAAATAAATTAGGGATAAAGATGCCCATATTGCACTGCGAAATATATTGTTTGATCATTTGTGAGATAAGTATACCAATTCTAATGTTTAATTGCATGTGCATTTTTTTTGTTCTTATTTATGTGTTTTAATATAATTTTAATTTTATTTGATAGATGTTTATTTATTTAGGATATATTTATATTTTAAATTAATATTCTTTTTTAAATATTAAAAAATTGAGTCCATTTGAGAGGTCCATTTTTTTAACTATATGATATTTGGAGCGAGAGTTTTTCCAGTGGAGATGGCCTAAGCAAACGAACTTTTATTACGTCTTTGACCGGACGTAGATCAAACAATACCTAAAAGTTGTAAGCAAACAGCCCCGAAATCCCTCTCGACACGCGACTGTTATTTTCCCGACTGGGTCGAGAACGGCGAATCTCCTTGAGAAGATACCCTATCACAATCTCTCTTTCTAGGGTTTGCAGACGGCCGGCAAGATGTCCGATCGTGTCGCCGACGACGCCATCAGCCTCGTTCGGCGGCTCACCAGGAACCTCAATCGCAAAGTTTCTGACATCGTCCTCCTTCTCCTTAATCACAAGGTAATCCTGCAAGAGATATTCCCTATCCGACCACGTTGATCTTGTTAACCTTCTAGGACTTGCTTTTTACACCTCCCCAACTCGATTCACAGAGTGCCGGCTCGTTCGGAGCTGTCGCGGGACTTGCCATCGCCGTTGTCTTCACATGGAAGTTCTTGAGATCGCCTCCGGACCGGGGGCGGCGGCGCACCCCAAAACGCAATGTTTTGCCATCTGCAAATGGCGGCCCGTCCAGTGGAGTCGCGGCAGAGGATCCTCCTACTGTGCCCAATTTGAGAGATTCGGACGGGGTCCAGGAGAACGGCTCTCCTTATGAGGTAGCGTCACGGTTGCTAAAACTAATTTTTTTTGTTTCGGCTACAGTTACTGCACTTCTGCCACCGTATATACTGGGTTATTTTATTTCGACCCTTTCAGCTTAGTCTTGGACAAATTGTGAGGAAGAGGCTTGGCGGATGCCGGAAGGTACGTGGAGTGATTATTTTCGTCAACCAAATAAATTTGAATTTATACGTCCAGAAATTATTCTGTTATCTTTGGGGAAAAAAATTGTCAAATATTTTGACCAAATTTTGATCAGGATGAATTTCATACCGGTTAAATTTATTTTGAGATTAGCAAAACCCAAGTTTTGATTAATAAATGATTTGACTTATTTTAAAGAAAATCTGATGGATATAAAATTCATACTTATCACAATTTGATTAGGATATATCCTGGCCCAAAATTTCTTTTTATTTTTGTTGGTATTTAAGAGAGCTTTGATTCTGTGAACCGTTGAGTTTACATGTGGCCTATTCCATAGGCTAAGCAAGAAGCTTGTAGGCTTAAAGCCTTAAATTGATGTTGAGTTGGTTTACCAAAAAGATGAGTTCACATAATTATACGAACTAGGCATGACCTAGGGAAAATCGTAGTTCATTTGTAAAGGGAGAGAAGAAAGAAGAGGTGATAAGAGTTGGAGGATTTTTATTGTGAATCATCAATACTTGCCCTTCCAATACATTATAGGTGCCTTTTGTAGAAAATGATCGGTAATACATATTAAAAATATGTTAGACAAATGAATCAAGTTATTTTGTGTACTTATTGCACATTAACATAATGAACACGTGTAAAGTTTAAATGGATGTGCTTAAAATCTAATATGGAAAGTAATCCAACAATTGAGATTATCCTATCCTCTATTTGGGCTGCAGAAACATTTTGTTGAAGAGTTGGAAAAAGGTGGCTATTGTGGTAGAATTGGTATGTGCACTTCTCTAAGTGAACCCAAACGTGTTCTAGTTTGGAAGTTGTGAAGGTGGCCAATAACCATCATGAGTGACCAATGGGTTGTCAGTGAATGAACAGCTAGTGGAAGATATGGGGGCATTGGTGCTAGATGTCAACATATATCATGAATTGGATCAATAACTTGAACAAGGATCCTATAACGGTATGGCTATGACAGTGTGAAGTTAGTCTATATGAATGAAGATGCAAACAATAATACAGGAAATGGAGGAGCATCCTTTATGACTATCTCAATAGAAAGTGAAAATATTGGACATTATGCCGTAGTATGTGAGCATTTAAATCTTGGTCATATGGTGGAATTAGTGGAAAGATAGTTAAAAGATTGAGTGGGAAACAACATAAGATATTGAGAAATGATCTATATCTCTATCTTTAATGGTTTGGGAGAAGAAATCGTAGCAAAAGGCTTCATAGACTCGAGTGCATCATTTATTCTCTAGCATAGTCTTATGTTTAAGCTCTAGATTAAGTTCAACTATAGGTTGATCATCACAATCCGGATCATTATATCTATATCAACATACTCATATAAGCATACACATCCTCAATTGATTCTATTGAATTCTTCCATGGATCCAAATAATCTATTTATTCTAATTAATTTTTTAATCTTATTGTTTAGCAAGATTTGTTTCTTTGGAATTTCAATCCTTTTCTTTATACAAGTACTTGTTGCCTTCCATTATGTTGAGGTTGATTTACATAAGATGAAAATGTACAAGTAGGAATAGAAAGTTGTCGATATGGGCACTAATATGGTGGAGATCAATATTGATCATTTTCAGTACATGATCTTGAGATTGTGGGTAATTTGTGGAACTTGTATATTGATCAAGGAGATTAATTAGTTTGTATCATGATCTTGATTATTATATAAAGGCCATGGTGGTCTATCATTGTCATAAGGGGTTTCAAGGATTGCTCATATTATTTATGATAATATGATGAACTTGATCATTCAACACAACCCTTATTATGATATGATATAGGATTATGATGTGGATGTTGACATTTTTTTTGTTAACACAAGGCCTTTTGACTTTGGACTCTTTCGTTTCGTGATTCTTCAAATATGGTTGTGTTAGTCCATTATGGAGAGATTAGAAGTCCTGCTTGGTTGTTCCATTGGTTATGACTTAGTGAATTCATTCACAGGAGAGTTTGAATACCATCAAAGTGACATAAGAATCTATTCTTTGACCTAGAAATAATGAAGATCAAGCATGTTTATATAGTGGAGGCTTGGATTTCCATCACTTAATTGCATTGATAAGTCTTCTTCATCACAAGACAAATGTTTGCTGATCAAGATGTATAAAATCAAACTTCAATAAAGTTCCATTCAACTTTGGTCAACCCTTTGCTCATTATGAATTGACATATGCTCAAATAATGATGTCACACACTTACCAGACTAAGCATGGCTAATGCCAAAATATTTGGTGACCCTACTCTTTTTTCCATTATGTCATGATTGATCACCACTTGCAATAAAACTAGATATTATAATTTAGGGGTAACTTAAAATCTTTCTTTTGATGCGTAAGATGAACAATCTTGATTAGACTAGGACATTTTTAAATGTTATTCTCTATATAAGCAAGTGCTATGTAAAAATGAAAGCAGTTAGTAAAGAGAAATAAAAATGTCTAATTCAAGTAATTTGAAAATATCTTGGTGATTTTTTTCTTCCTTTTGAAATTCTTTGATGAGAACTTCATTTATTTTTGTAATTCTGATATGTCTTGGTATCCAAAACAACAAAATACTTCACGAGATTCAACAAAAAAATAAATTATAATTGGTAGAAAATCAAATACGAACCACGCAAGATACAATGATCCTCTTTTGAGTGGAGAATCTTCTCTCCCAAATTCTAGACGCCCCTAGAATCCCTCACACAAGAGAACTACAACACTTAAAATAAAATTCTGCATAAGAAAAACTCTCATAAACCCTAACTTAGACTGAAATAAGCTCTCCACCTATTCCCTCATAAATCAATCACTTTCCTAATGCATTTCCCTCTCCTATTTGATTTCCAATTAGAAAAATCCTTTTCTAATTGATCCTTGCTTAACATAGTGTATTAACTCCTTGATGGGCCCCACCACAAGAGCCGAATCCTCCTTCTCTTGCTTCCACCATCTCCTCCTGGGCCAAAACCACTTGGACAGGCCGTTCTAGGTCTTCCCGGGTATGAGCCTTGAGGTTTGCTAAAGCGGAGGACCATGTTGTAGCGAAAGCCGTATCAATACCCCCCCCACAAAAGTAATGCAGGGAACTACAGTTAAATAATCTGGTAAGACTCCCATGTGGCCTTGTACTCTGGTAGATCCTTCCACCTGATCAACACTTCTTTGCTTCCTATTGCTCCCTCTCACACTCCTTATCCCTCAGATGGTTCCGACAACACCTCCATGTCATCTGTCAAGGTCGGGGGCAGTGTAGAAGATGGAATATACTCTCCTATCACCCGTCGCAACTTGGACATATGAAACACCGGGTGGATGGCTAACGACGGTAGTATCTATAGGCGATAAGCCATGGCCTCGATGTGCACCACTATTTTGTAAGGACCAAAATATTGGGGTGATAATTTATCATTCCGTCTCTGTGCCAAGGTTTTCTGTCTGTAGGGGTGAAGCTTCAACTAAATCCTGCCCCCTACTTCGAATTGAATGTCCCTCCTTTATGCATTTGCTTTCCTTTTCTTAATTTGTTGAGCTTTTAGCAAATCCTTTTCAGTTCTACCAATATTTTATCTCAGTGCTCCAAGTACTGATCTATTGAAGCCACCGGTGTGTTGCCCTGTCCATAATATATGAAGTGCGACGGGTCTCTTCCATATAACAATTTGAATGGTGTTGTCTGAGTTGCTGAATGATAGGAAGTGTAATACCAATATTCTTCCCATGCCAACCATTTTGCTCACAATTTGAGTGTGCTCGATATGAAGCACCATAGATAAGTCTACACACTACGATTAACTACTTATGTCTATTTGTCAGTCTGATGATGATAAGCATTGCTTTTTTTTCAAAACTATTCCCTACATCTTGAACAACTCTTTTCAGAACTGGCTTAGAAAGATCTTGTCTCGATCCAACAAAATCGTTTCTGGGATCCCATGTAGTCTGATCACCTCCCTCATGAAAGTCGTCGCTATTGATATTGCAATATACGGGTGGCGATGGGGAATAAAATGGGCATACTTACTCAGTCAATCCACTACCACTAGAATCATAGTGTATCTTCTTAACTTGGTATGTATTTTGGACCCCCACATGTCCCCCAATGGTCGTCCCATGGAACTCCTGAAGTAAGCAAGGAATGTAAGAAGAGGTATTCGGGAGTACAAAACTCCTATAACGCAACAACTTCTATCTCACCACTGAATACCCCTAATGGCTATTCTTGTCTCCTGTCAACTCCTCCTTGATTTTCCTCAACGCGGCATCAAGTTCACTTTCTCTCTTTAGTGCTTCCCAATGAACCACCAAGGGCACAGATAATGCCATCATCTATGGTTCTCCCATGCACTTGGACAACCCATCTGCTTCTCTGTTTTCCACTCTAGGTCATTACTGTTTCTTGAAGTCATAGCCCAGTAATTTAGAAGCCACCTTTGATGCTCTTCAGTGACCATTCTTTGCTCCAGCAAATACTTCAAACTCTTTTGGTCAGTTTTGACAATGAAATGTCTCCCCGATAAATACGATCGTCATTTTTGAATGGCCATCACTATTGCCATAAGTTCTCTCACATAAAACGACTTGAGCCTTGATATGGCCGTCAACACTTGACTGAAATAAGCCATCGATATTTGGTTTTGCATGAGTATCTCTCTTAGCCCAAACCCCGAGGGGATCTATCTTAACTACAAAAGGCTAGCTAAAATCTGGAAGAGCTAAGACTGGCACACTAGTCAATCTTCTTCAGCTCCTCAAAGGCCTGGGTGGTTGACTCTCCTCACTTGAAGTGTCCTTCTTAAGTTGTTTTGTCAATGGCCTTGCTATCGACCCATAGCCTTTCAAAAATTTACGATAGTAGCCCGTGAGTCCCAAGAATTCCCTCAACTCCTTCAAATTCCTCGGTATTGGCCATCTGAACATGGATTTAATCTTACTTTGGTCTGCTTTCACTCTCTTGAGATATCACATGCC